ATATATATTTTCTAACTTGGCGATATTAATTGCCGTGATGTATATGCGTTTTACTTATTATATATTTTATTTAGATTCCGAGGTTTCATAGAAAAACTTTGCCCGGTGCTTTCCATACAAACTAATTTTTACAAGCAATACGGACAAGGAACATAAGCCATAGAACACAATAGCATAAATAAAATAAAGGTTTCCACGAAGTTGACAACAGCTTCGTAAGGTGACATGGTATACTACATACGTTTACGTCTCGATGCCAGAGGAAACAAACATCACGTGTAGAAGCAGAAGCTAGGCACGGCGAAGTGAAGCTTGTTTACCCAGACATTGTCTTCCTCGAGCGAACTTCTCGACACTTGTTTGGGTGTGAGGTGTCTTGGTATTCAGGCTTCTGAGCGTTAAACCTCGACATAACTTTTATTGTCGCAAAAGCCGTGAAATTATTGAATGCTGAGATGAAATATTCTCTGGAATTTTGTGCCACTTTTCAGAGTAAGAAACGCCCGGATTTGAATGAATGAAAAATTATTTGAAGGAGTTATTGGCGAGTTAAAAGTAAACGTAAATACATTGTACCGCGTATGAAGCAAGCAACTCGTAAAATTGTCAGCATATGATTTTAATGTGGGTCATTTCTTTAAACACGATATTTTCAGTAAGTACATGCAGTCTGCAAGTTTTGCACCACTTCTAACGTTATAAATGCAAATTTAGTTCCCACAAACCACACAAATATTTTAGCACAAGTCCGATGGAAGCCTTCCGTCCATAAAAATCTTCTGAATTTAAGCACTCTGGCCATTTATAGCCGGGTTTTCTTTAGCGCCGACCACGCCCAAGATTTCATCCAGAATTTTAAACCGACGCCCTTTCCGGTAGGCACAATCGAACTTTTTAAGAAGAGTTCCTTAGTATTTCATGAAAACTTCCCCCCTTGTCCCTCTTTCCTCCTCAAAAAATCGTATTTAGGAACCAAACAGACTAACGTCTTGGGAAGTGTCGAATAAAAGTGAATCTATACCCAAAGTTCAATTGATACAGAATACAAAATTAGAGACAAAAAACTTTAATTCATCGATGACGTTTCATGAAAAGTTTCCTCCCGCCTAGCGTCACTGAGCCAGACGTCGGTTGTGTTTGTTCGCTAATTCTTTCAACAATGCACGACGCCTTTAAACTTCAACTGCATTTCTTGATAACCTCTCACAGCGAAGCCAGGCACTTCAGGAGGTCGGTCTTGATTGTTGACAAAATCGTGCAAGCAAATACAGCGCTCGGTAGGATAGTCGGAGCCATTTTTCTTGCAATTTGTAGGGCAGAAAATAATATTCAGTATGAAGAAGTCACGCAGATGCTAAGTTTAATGCAGTTGGAACTAACTCCACTCAGAAGATGTTTCTAGTAAGCACACATAATTAAATTCTGTACTTGACGGAGATGCTGTTTTTCCTATCGTGAGGATGCCTACACACGATGGCATGTGCTTTTCAATAATATTCATGTTTACCAAGTACATATTTCGCTAATGACTCTTCTACTAATTGATTACACCTCATTTTAAACTCTTTAAATGAACCAACACGTGGCCGCATTGCTGTTTTTATCTAGAAACTACAACAATACGTTGTAAGATGAACGATCAAACCTGCAATCATGAATATTCTCAACTTCTGGCAGGCACTATAAGCCGTACACCTAAAAGTTCACCTAATTATTTCGTGATACTTGAATTTAACACCTAAGATTTAGTTGTAAGGACAACACATTCATGAACTAATGGGCCGCAAAGGCTACAACGCATATATTTTTAGAAATGGCCATTTGATGTATGTCTTGGTCATTCATCAAGCATTCTCCTGAAGATAGAAGAAAATGTGATTAGACTTTAGAAAAAGAATCCAGTCTTGAATTTGGATTTCGCATCTAGCTATGACTCTAGAATAATTCTAATTAGTAATTTGCTTCAAAAAGAAGTGATAACCGATTTGAGACATCAATTGCAAGACATTCTTTCTCAATGTCGTACGCAGCCCATGAAAATCTTGGGACGACTACAGGAAAAACGAATTCATACTCGACTTCGACCAAATTCTATCATTCCAGATGGAAAAAATCGCGTTATATTGGTCGATAGACCATTAATTGGTGGCTGTTGACTGGCGGTGATTTAGCCGGTAACTTCTCAAATAGCTAGTTTCCTAAATTCAAACTGAATATGTATCTGTGAGGACCAATAACCTCTACAAACATATGATTCTGATCATGTTGATTTTGTGCTGGCCGGTAAACCTTATACAGAAAATCGAAGCATAATCTTTAAGAAACACTACATTGAGACGTCGCTTGCAAAAGACTAGAATGATGTTTTGTTGACAACTCTACTGGTTACCTTATTATGATCATATAACCTCTGTAATGATTAAGACGTTCGTCGATATTATCATCAACTGATAAACGAAATGGGACCAGCAGAGGTGCGTAACGGCGTAATGTGAAATTTCAATAGACTTGGTTCTATTAGTAATATTGCATTCGTATTTTTCCCTATGTTGTGAGGATAACACAATTAGCCATTTCTGTATCTTCGATTCATATTATAGAGCTGTTATGATCGATCGCAAGATATACACAAGGGTTCATCCTATCTCAAGACCACAACAGGCATACTTCACTCCACGGCTTTCACGAGGCAGCGATTGCTGGTGCAACATAAATATATATTCAGAGCGCCTATAGTTAGATCATGAAGTGGAGTGATAAATCGCAGTTGTTTTTCCCGTTGCGAAGTGCGGAAATTGATTGACAGTTGGATCATGACGAGTGTATGATTGTATGGTTTGATAGCTAGCCAGTGATAGCTTCGTTACAAGTGTAACAGATTCATCAGTATAAATGCGAATTGGCAAAACCCGAATATGTTGCAGAAGAGATGTTAAACAAAATTCAAACATTGGATGAAAATTTAAATTATGACATCTTTGTGTTATGAAATCAGCTTTAAACCTAAGCGACCCAAATCATTCAAACGATAGACCGCCATCATCCAAGTTCGTACTCTCACAATTCTGTAGGTCGAATAATGTTTTTGAAAAATATGTTAGAATACCTAGCTTCATCAACAAAAATTAAATGTTTTTGCTTCGTCTGATATTGTCCGTTGACTGCCAACTCGTCAGCGTGGTCTTATATTAAAATCAACAGGACAGATGTATATACCTACATTACTGCAATAAAAGTTTTCTTGCAAACAATAGGAAGTTAACAAAAAATGGCCTTTGCCAGTTCTATAACGCAGACTAAACGATTTTCCAATTGAATAGTGGATAATGGTAATATTTGTGTAAACTAAAAAATTGTACACTTCAGCTGAACTTATAAATTAGAGGCAATGCTTTGTAATGTTATAGCGGATACTGTTGTTATAGCACGTATGCCGGGCTGAAGCGTTCTAAATTTTGTTAATTTAAATAATCTAAAGTAAAAGAATCATAGATCATCCAAAAATTTATATTCATGATTTACTCCACCTTAAATTAAGAATCTATACTTTAATTAGCTCCACAACGGCCCACCAAAACATAAAAAGGCAAAAACATTACATTTGTGTATTTTAACATTTTTGGAGCCTATATAGCGCTCCAGCCAAAGCCAGTGTTTAGTATGACCTCGCATGCGCATCAATCTTGCCTACTAAATATCATGAGCTTGTCCTGCTGAGAACTGCTGCGCAATGACAGGCTTTTAAAATACAATGGTAGCTCAAGTCTGCAGATTAATTCCCTTCATTATATTCTGGAGTGAGTGATTTGTTAGCGACAGGTCGACGGTGAGGCAGCCCTGCCGAGCTGCATTATGCGGCAGATGGCATCATCACAAACCTCCAGCAGCGCTCCAATGAAACAGCTTCACAGAGCAAATGTAGTGAGACAAACAAAGCTAGGAAGGTACGAGTTGAAGGCAAGGATGAAAGTTCGGAAAATAATGAAGTGTAAAACAGATTGAGAATCCATGAAGAAAATTGAGAATCCATGAAGAGTTTCGTTAGCTAGAAACACATAAATTTGGCATTGAAATTATTCTCAAATTTCAAAGAAGGCGAATAACTAATCAAATCAGACGTATAGTAACTTATGATTCTAATTTGTGAAAAGCAGAAAAAAATTTTCGTTCATCATAATCAATGTCTATTGAGAAGACTTACTGATAACTTTTGATCATGATAACGGAATGCAAAAACAATTCTCATCAATCGGAATTACTGTGTGCCTTTACATTGTACGAGATGAAGAGTTTGACGTGAGCTGAACAATTCATATGAATAAACAACGAAGTTAAGTGACCAGTGACAATAATTACCCCAGCTTTAAATGCAAAGAATGTTACCGATTTAAATGTCTAGACCGAAAACGGAAATTTTCGCAGTAGAAACGACTCGTACGACTTTTAGACGAGGCCCATCCCATGCAATTGATTCATCTGTGGCCATTGTTCGCAGCCGGGGCTCAAACTTTCACCTCCGTTAATGCTCTTCGTAGTTTAATAATGCGCACTCTAATTGAGCTCTGTAAATGAGGCTCTCGATTCTCATCTGCCCCTCCACGAAGCCAATGATGCCGGAATTTATTGAGCTTTCAGGCCGAACTTTCGAAGGCCTGCACCATATATTCTATAAATGATATAAATGAGGGAAGTATTCAGGAAAACAAACGCTTTATTTCATGGTAACTATATTTCAACAATTATTAGGTGAAATATATGTAATAATACTGATTAACTTGACACTAAGCACGAAAATTACTGAACTACTGCAGAAACACGTAGATTTTACAACTTGTAATGCAATAGCCAAATGATACAAGTGCTTTCTAACGCGCTTTCAAATCATAATTGTTCGGATGTTATGGCTATAGATGGACACCTCAGCATGGGCAGCACAACATTAATTATGCATGCAATTTAATTCTCAACCCATAACTTGAAACTCGAGCTCAAGTCCTTACCTCGAGGCCGGACTTTGCTCTCCTTGTCCTCCTTCTCCTTCACTGCCGCCGCCGCCGCCGCCGCGGATTGCGTTTTCTGGGACCCCCACCGGTTGCCCATGGCGGAGAATTCGACCAGGAGTCAACAGAAAATCGTTTTCAAACTTTTCAAGCCCGATTTTATGCACGTTTTACGTCATTATTCGGTTTAATTATACAGCAAAGATAATCAGAAACATCGATTCAGTTTCTAATTAGGATCTAACAATCATTTAGGCTGCACATTTATTTCCGGCATTTAAAAAACATGCAGGTAAACCTTTCTACATGCCACTTTACCGGAAGTGAAAGCAGGTGATTACACGAGCCCGTTTTATCAAATTTCCAAGTGACATTATTACACGTATCTTTCAAGAATGAAGTTCGCGTGTGCCAAACTTCCTTTCAACATATTTCATATTTTTTAGAGTTTAGCACACAATTGATATTTTTCTGCTAATTTTACATTGGTACAACACTTTCACCAACATTCCATCACTGAAATTTTTTCACAATCACTCGACGCTAACGTAAAATTTCACATAGATTAACAATAAATATTCAAACTCGGAATAGATTCCTGAAAAACCAAGATGCATTCAAATGATAAGTTTAAGTCGGATGCCAAAAATCACGGCAATTAGTTTATAAGAACTAAATCAAGGTCCACAAGCTTTCCAGGCAAAGTTAATGAAACTTATGAACTATTTACAACAACCAAGAGTGCAAAATGTGCTGATTTTTTACGTTGGTATTAAAAGAATTGTGTCACTTTCAGCAAGTTTGGACAGGGCGAAGTCTAGTTTCAACTTGGCCCAATTTACCATTAAAAGCCATGGTTACCGTATTGACTCCAAACCGAAGAATTGTCAAACTAAACCTTGAAATAGTTTAAACGTTACTTAAATCATTATTTTGGAATTATAACCACAAAATACTTGGCCGTCGATTGATTCACCCAGTTATTGAACAATGTACATTAAATGAGAATGAAATCGAATGTTGAAGTTCAACAGTGAACTAAAAGCAATTGTTCTTATTTTAGAAACGCTGGAAGAACCCCCGATTCTAGATTGAAAATTATTCTGACATAGGAGCCGTTTCTGCTTGTAGGCCTTTGGATCATTTCAACTGCAAAAGGGACAAATCGACGCATTATTTTACGTTATAAACGTTTATACCGAACCCACACATATACGGAGGGTTGACGATTCGTTATGTTGAACTATAATTTCCTTTTTCAAGGCACCAAAACTTTCCTCTATAGCATATACAAAATTAAGTTTTCTAGAACTTCAGGACGAGAAGAAAGTAGGAACACCGCGTCTACCACCCTGCGCAGTGCCCGCATTCCACACCATGGGTTGAATTACCACAAGCACAGAGCCAGGCATGCTGGCCAGCTGAGAGAGAATCACCCACACCCACACTCAACGGAGTCTCTCGACGCACTGAGTCTGAATGTCTGAGACTCAGAGTGTCTGAAATCTGAATGGGATTCTTAATCTCTAAAACTGAATAAAAAAGTACTGATACTTCCTCATTCAACACTCCTTTTCAGCTGTCACCGCGGATGCTGGAGTGAATGACGGTTAACGGCGGACGAAGAGCTCAACGAATGCATGACTTCTATAACGCAGAATTTTCGTTAGCTGAATAAAATGAATCTAATTCGCAAAAAAATCTTCATTTAATTAATTTGTTCCTCATAAAACTTGTTTCGACTTCGCTCTAGTTTTTTTCTATCAATATCGAAGCCTCAAAACAGTCCGCATCCAACTCAGGTATTATAAATATTCAATGTTATGCAAAACACACAATTAACCTGCCACGTATGACCCGTACGCTCGTAAACATTCATATTCTACTTGGATTTGAATTTTTCATTTGAATTTGTTACTTTTTTCTGGTTTCACAGTTCATGAACATAATCAAATATTTCGATCAGTCACTCCTTTTTATTATTCTAATTTGTACATTATTTGTACTCTATAGTTGGCAGATAAAGTCAGTTCATCCATCGATATATCTATCATCCTATGTAAAAATGAGTTTGCGTTTTTTCCGTTGGAATAATTATAACTTTCTGATAATTTTCTAAAATTATTACCGGTTTTGGTTCGTATTTGAAATTATTATTTTGTGCCTTTTCACAAAATGAAGTTTGCTCAACTCTGCTCTAAATTGTTTTCGTTCCTTTGAATTTTGGCTAGAAGGCGGCGCAAATACTATTGTTATGTTCTCTTTGTTACTCGCAAAAACGCTCAATGGCAGCAAACGCGTTTTCCTTCCATTAGAAGTTCCCACAATACGTATTGTCACATGTTTCAATCACGCAAGATTTTGATGCTAATACTGAGGAAATTATCTATGAAATTTTGGTTAACCAGACATGTAGAAGAGTATTCGAACTAACAGTTGCGCATAATACATGAAATATCTGCTAAACAATCCTGGATGCTGCTACTGATTAGGCCGTTGAAAAAGTATTCGCCTGTAGTGTTGTAGTGCTTGTAGTGCTTACTTGCCCATGTTCTTAGTTCCCCGGGTGTTTGGTAGTCCAGGACTAGGAGCTATGTTCGATTGTCGTGATTGTCTTGGTCTTGGTGGCTCAAGAACCGATGTACATGGTACGCAGGTGCACATTGCAATGTAATGTAACTATAAATATATGTACACTGTATATATATGTGCACTGTATATATATGTACACTGTATATAGGGCTGTATAGTTTACACTAAAACCCAGGTCACTAGCTTGACAGTGCTAATTAGTAGCACCAACGCTAGGGAATGGGACTAGCTGTGGTCGTCAAGAGATTCTGAAACTAGAATTCAAGTTTATCTACGAAACAGAAACATATCGGTTCATCGTGGGAATCTCATTTCAGACGAATCTGAAGCTGTACACTAAATAAATTTTTATTTTGGGGATTTTCATGTGCGTGTTTGCCATGATGCCAAACTCAGCGGCAGATGGCCGTCATCACTGGAACTGAGTGCACATCCTATTTATTTTCAAGTTTAATATATTCATATCTGACGTTTCAACCCTCTACCGCCGTATGTAACTCTCCGGGAACACAACTTTCAACTTAATTTATACGTAAGCCATCGAGTGTAGCAACCTAAGGACGTTTGTACGCAACAGAGAACATTTTAAAGTTGTCGTACGTGGCGGCAACCATAAATGCAAGTCAATTACTCATATTGCGTTCACTAGAACCTATCCTTTTTGGGAAGTAGGCTTGTGACAATATTGCTCCCGTTACTCATGTCAGGCGGTAGAGGTTTAAAATGTAGTATTAATTTATCGGGATGGTCAAGCTTCAGTAGCGGTCGGTTCGCGATGACTATGCTCTCTAAAAAATAATTGTGTTCATTAATGATTTTTATCCCCACATTAGCCTACATCTATTTTCATGCGTAAATAGAATTGAATAGACGTTTCGGCACTGAAGAAAATAGCCCATGGCTGCTGCCGATTTTTGTATTTTTCGGGACTTGAATCACAAGGCAGACGATCTTTTGAACCCGATCATTTCATAACTGACGATTGTTTGAGATAGCTGCTGGACTTATTGCAGGTCCGTAATTTGCTAGGCATTTTAAGACTGATCATATGCTCCTGCATAGCTTCGTCTAGTCTGTGCTTGAAGGCGTTCATACGCGGAGCGTCAACGATGCTATCAGGGAGGCTGTTCCACATGTCGGTGACTCGAAGCGAGAAGAAATGTTGTTTTTGGATTTGTCTTTTTATTCTCGTGATGCCTAATGATTCACCCTCCACCTGATACGTGAAACTTTACTACACAAGTTCCCACCAAGTATTCTATCCATTAACATGCATTAGTAATGAATGTAAATAATTTGACATTCGCCCAAAATGACCGAAAATTTGCCATAATCGTAATCTTTATCCATTACCGATTTCCACCAGAATTTTTATAACTATTTACCGGTCTCGAATACTCAACTCGTGTTCAAGGTAAGTAATTTTTACTCTATTGCTTGTTATATTTTTAACGGTTGCTACGTTCTGGTAAACTCGGAAATAATGTATTTTCTTTTTTACTTGAAAGTTGTTTTAACTGGCGGCTAGCGAAAAATTTCTCCAGACTATAGGCCATGATGTTTCTAAAGAAGTCCCTGTCCTTCCCTCAAATTCTCTAAACAACTGAGAGAAAACTTTTTTCGTATCAGGCGTGACTATAATAATTTACTGATATCGCCGGTAAATCCTATATTAACTCGATATTCGCCGATAACAGCGTAGACATTAAACAATACGGTTCCGTGCCTTAGAGCAAAATAAATCTAGAAGTAAACCGACTGGATTACAAGTAAAATTAGATGTCAAATAATTAATTCACGCTCAGTGGCAAATAAAACTCATTTGACCGTCAATAGCATTTATTCGTTGGTCGGGCTGTAAAAAATAACCGGAGAGACCCTTGCAATAAAGCCATCTGTAGCGAGGTGCTGCTTAGCGTTTGTATATATCGAACAGTTTTTATTACGGGCAAAATATTGCATTGGTTGCTTTAATCATTGCATTATATGGATTAGTGCCTCAGTAGTGCCCTACAACTAGAACGAAGCCGATGAATGCATATGTCAACTACATAAATATATATTTTTAAGGCTGAAAATATCAGTTTATATGGATAGAAAGAATATTCAGTACATTCTAACAGGCAAATCCATCCAATATTTGACACAAAAATTTTCTCAGCGAAAACCCGAGGGCTAAATCTGATATGCACTTCAAATTCATCTCAGGCACGAGACTTGTGACTCGATGCAAGGAGGTGGATAGTTTATTGAACTTTAATGTTAATTTCTTATTTCGTGGAGGACATTCCTGAATAAATTCTATCACTTAAAATTGATAACGAAATACACTGACACTAAGAGACAATAATTATTGAACGAAGTCAGCGAAACCATGCAGTATAAAAAAACGAAAAGTCGCTTCTAGTTAATTCACCAGTTAAACTCAATTTTTCTGAAGACAGAAGAACGGTCAAATTAAAATTGATCGTATACAAATTTAACACAAATACAGAAACATATTTAATGGAAATACGCCAGAAAATTTTATATAATGCAAAATGTTATCATTATATCGTGTATTTCATGAACGTTTTTCACTATAACGTATCATTTGCCAAGAAATGCGCAAAACTTTCATCTCTTAGGACAAAATAAAAAGGAATTTGAGATAAAAAGCCCTTGAAAATATCTTTAACTCTGCTCACATAAGATCCTAGCCTCGACTCCTTATAGGATCCTAAATTCGACTCCCATAAGATCCTGAATTAGACTCCCATAGGATCCTAAATTCTAATCCCAAGAGTCCCTGAATTAGACTTCCATACGATCCTAAATAAGACTCCTATGAAATTCTAAATTCAACTCCCGTTATATCCTAAACGCGACTCCTTTAATATCTTAAATTCGTCCCCTATAAGATCCGAATATTGCAGCAGGTGCTATTTATATAGATGAACTATAAACTGACTTAAGTTTAGCAATCATATAATAAAAACGAGTTTGGAACGTTTTCGTATGATATAAGTGAAGAACAAGTAATCTGGTGATAAATTCTTCGCATTCAAAACTAGAAAACCGCATTTAATTGTGTTTAATAACGTAATGGGTAGGATATTTTTATCATTACAAGCGGAATGACACATCGCATGGGTTTGGAAATAGCTTACACCCACAATAAACATTATCGGAGGAGTTATTTTATGGAATAGAATTCCGGTATCATTCGCTTACCAACACCTATAACGATAAAGAACACATGGGTGATCGTCATTTAATGACTCACGCAATCTCATGCCTGATCCATGAACAATAAATAAGGGAAAAAAGTGGCTCAGTATAAAAAATACGGCGCAGCGGCATATTTCCCTACTATGGTTAATAATTCAAGGATTTTTCGCATAAGATTTGAAGTGAAAGCTTGATATTTCAATCTACTAATGGCAGTTGGCAGTGCAGACAAAGTCTAGCGATCAAACATTTTTAAATCAACAGCTCGCTGTCAGATGTTCTTAGTTCAACGCTTTCATGCCAAAGATCAAACAGACCTTCGACGTTAGAAGGTGAATTGTGGCTAAGGAACACAAAGAATTCTCACTCTGATTCAGAACAGCTTAATCACCCTCATCACTGTAAACTGTACGCGGTGAAATTCAATCTACCATCGCATGGAGAATAATCTTGGAACAAGTGGCAAAAAGTTTACAGTACGCGCACTGAAAACTCTTAAAACTCTAAGCGGTTGCAAGCGACGTAAGGCTGTGAAATGAATCCATTATTATAATCGACGTTTCTAGTTAAATGTATCTGTTAATATGAATTGCGTAAGTTATGAAACTAATAGCATTAGTTAATAAATATACATACTCTTCTTAAAAAGATGATCTGTGACGCAGCGCTAAAATCTCCATTAAATACAATAACAACGACTACTCTTCGTATGGACAACAGTGAGCGTATAAAATAGCTGTCTTTCCGTTGATAACGCTATGACTTATGACTAAACGGTTACTAATTTCATTTATAAACATCTGGCAGCAACCTTAGAAGCAGCATGTTATCTGTACACCCTTATAACGCAAGCTCATGGTTTATATCTCGCTTTTATATGCAGCAGACAAATTGCTGTTAAGAATGTACAATTTTTCCAGAATTCAACAGGATTATAAATCTGTACACAGAAGGGGAGGGCAGGCGTAGGTAGAGGACAGCATGCCACTCATTAGGTTAGTTGCATCGGCAGTTACATTTCTTTATCATTTAAATCATATGCTGCATAAAAATGGCTTCAATTGACACGGACCAGTACTTTTAACCAACCATTCGTCTATTATTTTCAGTGTTTAGCGCTAGCCGCAACGAGTGATGTCAAAATTTCAGTGCGGTGAAAAACATTCAGACATGTAAAGTTGCAAATTTTCTCGGTTGTAAGAATCCGTCTGCTACAAGTGGCATGGAAATTGTCGTGATATAAGTGACATGCAGCCACATTTAGTAGTGAAGGTCCAAGTGTCGTCAGATCATTTCAACCCAGGCGGTTGTGAATAGGTAGTGCAAGTCATGTAATTCAAGTCGGGACGCGATCAATATATATAATCGTTTAGCGTCAAGGTTCATTCTGTTGATGCGAGTTTTGTTAAAGTGTGGAGAGGTTACTATTTTCCCGGTAGCTACCGGCCAACATTATCTTGAATGGGGACGGTTTTGAAAAGAAGTAATGGTTTCGAGTGGAGGAATGAGGTGTGGTTGACAAGGTAACTCGGTTTTGGCTTCAAGATTTACGTTGGTTGTTAGGGTAATATCAAACGTGTGAATGTAATATCATTGACCTTAATTCCAGTAATCTTGTCGTGGTACCTTATACAAATTTCAGCAGACTGACGAATAATGCATCAATTTTCAAAGCGGCACATTGGGTATATAATAAATTGATTAAATATAATTTTTTACAAATTATACAGTGATTAAAAATAGCCATAAAATAGCTTTAAAAGTGAACAGAATTTAAATTCTCTTTCCATTATTTGTTTCATACAGGTTTTTCTGTATCTTTCGTTTTCGTAGTAGTATCAACCAATCCCTGATCTTCATTGATGCATTCCTGTATCTCAGTTCCCATCAGTGTCGAAGTCCTGAAGGAAGTGTTGGATGATATCGATTGGCAGAGGGAAGATGATGGTCGAGTTCTTCTCAGCGGAGATCGTGCTGAGAGTCTGAAAAAATTACAGTGCTCTAAGTTTCACATATACCTTCAATGTTGAACGCATTACAATACGTTGCTTGTCACAGCGTCTCGTAGGCAATACAATGACCATTGTCCACATATACTTTCATACCTTTCCTGTTGAACGCATTACAATATGCTGCTTGTCACAGCGTCTCGTAGGCAATACAATGACCATTGTCCACATATACTTTCATACCTTTACTGTTGAACGCATTACAATACGTTGCTTGTCACAGTGTCTCGTAGGCAATACAATGACCATTGTCCACATATACTTTCATACCTTTACTGTTGGATGCATTACAATACGTTGCTTGTCACAGTGTCTCGTAGGCAATACAATGACCATTGTCCACATATACCTTCATACCTTTACTGTTGAACGCATAACAATACGTTGCTTGTCACAGTGTCTCATAGGCAATACAATGAACAGAGTATAGCGCAGCTGTATGTGATATACCTGCAGATAGCGCAGCTGTATGGCCGAGGGCTGCAGGCTGAGGACGTCTGCGGCGTCTTTGAGAGACCTGGATGCCTTCTGCTCGCCCTCAGCAGCTATCACCTGTAACATGAGAGAGGCACACGTATAATAACGACTGCTCTAAACTAGCTATGTACTTCTTAAATTATTTTTATACTCTTGAAGCAAAATTCTTTCAAGCAAAGTGATTACATATCGCGCAATGAACTTTAGAAACTTAGGAACTTAATTATAAAACGTAATTATGGAAAATTATTATTGAACTTTATTATAAAAATTATAACTGACCATCGATTGGAACTAATGTCAACTGTTTGGCCCAGACACTCAAGCTCAACTTAGCATTCATGGAATATCGTTCAAAGCTTCCAATAAAATCCGTGTCGAACAAAAAATAATTGTAAATTGATGGTCAATAAACGATCGGTGCTCACCACCGATCGTCCAACCCTTGAATAAATACAAATATTATAAATAAAGCTGACCTTGGCTCGGGCCTCTCTCGCAGCCTCGGCTTCAGCGGCCATGGCTCTCTGCAACTGCACGGGCAGCCGCACGTCTTTGCTGCAACGCGCACAACATGACGTTAGTGCACGTCAAGTAGCGTTAGTACACGTCAAGTAGGGTTAGTACACGTCAAGTAGCGTTAGTACACGTCAAGTTCACGTTTTAACGTTAGTACACGTCAAGTAGCGTTAGTACACGTCAAGTAGCGTTAGTGCACGTCTTAACGTTAGTACACGTCAAGTAGCGTTAGTGCACGTCTTAACGTTAGTACAAGTCAAGTAACGTTAGTACACGTCAAGTAGCTCTTATTAACTACGCGACAACAAGCGGTTCGAGAGACCACGTCGCGCCTAAGGAACAAGGTTGGAGGTCAACAATAATTTTGGCATTATAAATACGGATAAAAATTAAACCTAATTTTCATAACACACTCAAAATATTTAATTATATATTTCGATGTTTCATTTATGGTCCAAACCTCGATTACCTTTTTCATCTATTTCTATTTTCTTCACGAGATAATTGAGTTTAAAATTACACGAAAACAACGAGGAACTCAATGCTGGACATGTATGTACAAGTTTGATAACGTAAGCGACGTTGAACTGCAGGCGTATGGGAATTTAATAGTTAATATGAATTAAGATTTAACGTTAGTGACGCTGTACACTGCATTCATATTAACACTATAGGTGCGCTGGCTGGATGCAGTGAGAAGGTCAATGTCTCTTCACACACCTTTCAATTGCAAGTCAATCCAATCAAGCTAATGAGTTGATGGGATGTGGGTTCAAGTTATTCGTACTGCATTCGGAATATCAAATTTGCCCTTTTGTTTTGATGTAGAATTATCTAATGATTTATTATGTTTTGCATGACATAAGATGAGAATATTTTCACGAATATCACAAGCAACTGGAATAATTCAACCGTAAAATAAACAACAATATTCCCAAAAATGGTCTTTCCAAAGGAAAAACCAAATTATAATTTCTATTGCCGCTAATATTGGCTGATAACCCCGAATAAAATTTTTAAAAAGTTATTTATTATATCTCGATGCTCCTTTGGTCTTATCAATTCTTCAATATTCCACTACGTCCAGGAAGTGGAGTGTGGAGGACAGCAATAATTAATAATAATAATTTCCGGGCATTAAGTACAACCCTCGTTCCTATTCAATTTGAGGGGAAACTGCAAAAATAATGGAGGGGGATTACACTGCTAGAAATTTCGTGCGCGCACCCGTTATTTAGGGTTTGACTGATTAATATTTGCTTACAAATTAGTCCGATGAATAAACTGTATATTATTTGCGCCGAAATTAGACCGATGAATGAATTTTTTTAAATGAATGAGAAATATATTAAAATTAAAGATTGAAATAAAAAAATAGAGTTATCTGAAAAAATTACCCTAATATGAATTGCAATTTAAGACTTCCAAGGAAATTTCACTTCAATCCTGCTGTTAAGGGATTTATAATTGGAAAAGGAGAGGAAACAAATTTTCTATCAAGTTGAAAACAAGTATTTCATTTACTTTCATAATTAGGGCATGTGAAGAGATTGACCTTCCCGCATAATTTTTATGAGTGCTCTCTACAGAGAATATCTCAACTAAACTGTGCTGTCTTATTCACGGGCAATATATATCATAGTTTACGTCAGCACTGTCACATCGAGCGGCGAGTCCTGGTTCACAGCTGTCGACCGGTCAGTCAGAACTAAACTTGTTTAAAATTTCAAATTTTTCACTTTACTCGTTAGAGTTAGCAAAACTACGATGACCGTTCGAAGTATTGAAAATTGTTCAGGAGTCGCAGTCTCAATGTAACGCGTGAGTCAGTCTTGGTTAATATGCACTATAATAGAGTACATGGAGCTGGGACACACAACACTGACAGTTTAATCCATAAGACTAATCCTATATTTTTAAGAAATATTTTATAGCTAATAATAGAACCTTTTGTTCACACGTTCTTCACCAAGTAATCTCTGGATTAATTTCTTGTCTCCGATAAGATTGTGAAATTTAAATGCAAAGCTCGATAGTTTTTCACACCTTACCTTCCACCAATGAAATAATTTTGATGTTAGATATATTTCAAATGCATTAAAGGCACAACATCGCGACCAAACTAAAAGATACAAAGATTACTAAATAATTTAAGAAACAAATCATTTAAGTCATTTGTGAAATTATTGAGAATTTATTTCAGACGAAAGACAAAGTTTGAAAACGCAGTAAGATATAATTAAAAGTACCAAGCATGTGCCTTAATACTATTTTAGATATTTTAGTCGTGTTTTGTGTGTTGTTTAGTAAAGGATTATACTGCCAGCAAAAGCCGATTTATAAAACATATATTTGCTTGATAAAAATACTTAAATTACTCATATGACGAAAGTTAAGTAGCAATAATAAAATCTATATTATTTGAATTAAAGTTTATAAATTATCATTTATAAATATGGTATATTATTCAGTGAAATTCTCCGCGAAGGATTTATATATTTATAAATAGGATTCAACTGGCAAGAAAATTCTCTAAATGTGTAATAGACGAGTTTTGTTCTTGTTTGGTGTTTGGAATCAATCTGAAACAGTTCATGTTTAAAAAATTTGTGTTAATGGATGAACGATTTGAAAAGAAAGAAACGTCATATGATCCTTATGCTTAAATTTGAATATATCTCTTATCATCTGATCCAGTCGCTTCAAGATTACACTTCAGCTACAATGAAATTTGTCGCCTGTACTTCAGCGAAAAGTTTTGACGCGACTATTTGAAGATACAACAACATTCGGAATAATTTTTGTTGATAAATAAATGTTTCAATCATTACATGATTTTTTTTGTGCAAAAGGTTCTAGTGTTTGCGGGTTAAATTTTATTCGCATTTATTTAAAAATGTTTTAGAAGCCATTTTATCAAAGTTTTTAATAAAAAGCATGCCAAAAATTTGATACCATGCATGTTCAGGACAAAATAAGGGAACATGACAAAAATCTGCAATCGGTTCTTCAATAAAAAAAAAACAAAGTGAATAAAATTTTTGGACTCAAGTACCAATTCTAAAAAATTTTCTGGGCAGGCGATTTGACATTGCATTGACACGGAAGTTATTTACAGCTGTCAGTCCATTCACTCACTCCCAAACAATACTTATAATCATACTCAACCACAAAGCGGTAAAATAAGTGAGTTGCTCATTGCTAAACGCTTTATAATAAGTGATGAAGCTACACCACATACATTCCACAATTCACCATGCGTTCACAACCGTCACATCGCAAATATAGAAAACATGGTTTATCAATATATTTCGTTCTAGTAACTCATTTGAAAACAAACTTACAATTATATCGGCCATACTATGACATTTCTAGACACTGTTTAAACACTGTTTAATGTAGCCTCGTCTGAAGGTAATTTCTTTGCAAATAAGTTGCGTTTTACAATTTGTTTGTTCCAGAGATTGACACCTAGGAGAATAATACGCTCATATTAGTTAACCCAACACTAGATGCGTGAAAATGAATGAATTACCATTTGATTATTACTATTATTTACTTAGTTATGACTGACAATTGCGCACAGATATTTTCCTACTAAGGAATATTCAGTTCATACTTCACAGTGCCATCGTAATGAAAATGATAATAATGCTCAAAACCCACAGAGGGTAATTAAAAAAAAATTCAGGGGGTCTTTTTGAATAAAATATGTAGGCCTTAATGCAGCTTTAAAATACGAGTACAACGTCGTAATCTGCCATCACATTACCATGAGCATACAGAACAATTTGTAAGACACACATCGTATGACCCAACACGTCTGTACTTCACTCAACAACCTCTGATGTACAACGCACTATATATTCAACACACACCTAGACATGGTTCAGCAGAGACACAATAGACGAGTGCCAGAGTGCATAGTATTCTGGTCACGTAGAGTTCCTCAAGTTTTTAGCAGGGTTGACGTTATGGTATTTATGAAGAGCGAACTTCTTTATTGCGGAACTTCAACGAAGTTTCAAGGGACATTCGAACTATTTACAGGCAGGGCGACAGCCATGGCATAAAAATACTCCTTTAAGGGCTCTATGGAATTGTTTACTTGTGCAACTGCAAATCAAAGTAAATAATATTATATATAAAGGAATGCGTGACAGTGCTTCCCAACATGTACGGTAAATTTAAACAAAGGGATTATTTTTTAAGGAATCTCACGATGCCTATTACAGAGAGGCTATCAACAGGGGCTGAACAGAAAAAAAAAAAGAGAAGAAGACAAGCTTTGGGTCAACATTCACATTCTGCTGCACATCCATGGACTCGAAGCGAAACGGCGTCTGACCTCCTGGCTTCAAAATATGATTTATTATAAAGAATAGGAGAAAAGATTGGATAATACACAAATTTTCATCAGTCACTGGCCGTTTATACAGTAAAATGACAAATTGAGATAACGTTATTAACAATTACCGGGGATGTTGCAAATATGGTTCAATTGGTTTAGCTTTCAATTGACCAGACACATGACAACAAGAAACTATCAAGATCCCTGTTGCAAGTAATAAAAAACAATGGCACAAAATAATTGTTGAAAAATAAATCTAATCAGAAACTATAACTTTGAAAACGTTTCGTTCTGATTCCGCAGGAAAAAATCCGGATTTGGACGAGGAATGCCTTAGACATTCTGTGGAAACGCGTCTGAAATAGCGTGCATATTTACGGTAAAGTGCTAAGCAATGCACCTAACTATTTAAGGTTAGGTGCTTCAGGAGATCAGAGTCCGCAATCGCCAGGCAAAGGCATCATCAGTACTCACATTTCGACCCGCTCGACCTTAATACCCCAATTTTCGGTTGCATCGTCTAAGACTTCCTGTGGACCGACATTTAACGAGTGTCAATTAATCTTCGCTTTCGAACAATCAAATTTCGTACAAGTGGTAACGTGGTGCGGTGCCACGCAATACAAGAGCTCAAGAAGTGCCCATAGCCGTCCAGTTAAATGGGGTTAGCGCTGCTTCCCTTGGGACAAGCGAGCAGTCAAAAGATATAATTAGTGGACACAAAACAAACGTCAGGAACTGTGAATGTTGAAGGTGAATTTTATGAGCGATGGATGAGCTCTGGGCCCAAAGATTGAGCCTACAGCACTATATCGATGTGTTAAGAAATGTTAAGGTTAGGTTGGTGTTTCATATAAATTCGTGGTTGTTTCGTTGATGTTGACCGTGGTATGTGGCTGTGGGTTTCGTTAACAGAGAAGTGCAGTGACCAAGAATTATTTGCCAGAGTAGTCAGAATTTCAAGATCATCAAGTGTCAATACTGGTAGTGACAATCCTGCTTTACAGAAATCTTTTGAGCGTCTTGTGGCTTTCGTGGCCGCATCGACTCCTTAATTCCAATAAAGCGTTTGAGGCGAACACCGACACTTGAATAGTACGACAATATACGAAATACGCGAACTGTTAAGATAACACCGGGTCTTACGGATGGATAATCAAACTAAAGACAGGAACGTCAAACATTCAGAACGTTCAAGGTGGAACTGTTGTAGAGAAAAATTAACAACTATCGAAAAGTAGATACTTGAAAAATTGTATAAATTAGCGAAAGCCATTAAAAAAGGGACGAGCAGCTGAGAGAAGAGGGTCGAAAGGAAAACATGAGAGTAATGCATAACTTGTAACAAAACTTTGGCAAGTGTGTTGGTAAAATTGCTCTCAATAAATGGAGTCTTCCATCATGGAACATAGGCGTGGTCAACGTTACAGAAAATTATATTATTGATCGCAGTGCCTGGTTATGATAAAAACCTGCCACAGATAAATAAGCCGGAAAAGCTATTCTCATAAATTTTTACATAAAATACAAGAGAAGATTAATATGTCAAGACGTATCATCCGTGGCATTAGTAAAAGTGTTGGGAGTTACTCATCTATTCGAGTTACAAAGCAAAATGTGTAGAAATGAAGACCAATGCGAGTGGTAACGCAGTTAACAGTTGTGTCATGAACGTTCATAATAAAACATTTTGAAACGTTGACAGTTAAAGGATGAAAACTTGAGGAAACACACAAGGTGGTGTGTGCGAGGATTTGAATAAGTTGAAAACAGACGATATGTAAAAACAAATAAGTTTGAAGTTTCTCTAAACAAAGCACCGAAAGGCTTGCAAAATACTATGACGTAATTTGAGTCGACTTATAATTATACTAACTCTATCGCTTGAGGGATGAACTGAAAAAGCTAGCAAGGTAGATATGCGTGAAGTGAAGCTAATAAGTTTTGTGGGAGTACCTAGCAGTTTTGTACTAGGCACAGCTATTAAGTGTACGTTTTTGTGGGAGCGGGTCTGAGGAACAGCTGTTGATTGTGTAAGTATAGGATAAAAGAACAGAGATATACGTAGCTGATTAGTGGCAATGGTTCATCTGATTTATGTGTTTCAGAGACTTAGCTAGAATGTAAGAGTGAGCAACAGAGCGGGTGTAAGGCACAGCTGACATGTAAGTTGTTCACCTGAAGAGGATGTGAGTACAATTTGTAAATACGAGCTGCTACACACAAGGCAGAGCTCGTTTGTCAGCTGGGAAATGATACTCACAGCTCGACTCTCTCAACCTTGATGCCCCAATGGTCCGTAGGCTCGTCCAGGATATTCTGTAAAACAGCTCAGCTCTTCACTAAATGCACAAGGTGGCCAATGGCTCGTCTCACGACACGCAGGTGCGATTTTTTACCGTATAATTTATTTACATTTTACCGTATAATTTATTTAACAATCTAGTCAATCGGCATTAGATTAAATTCATCATAAGAAACACATAACTTGGATCATTGACAGCAATTTGACGTGAATTAATCGAAATTGATGGCACGTAAATTATTAACTATTATTCGCTCATTTTGTCAACCAGTTTGAATGATTCAATGCACGAATAAAATTAAACTCGTGACACAGAGTTTGATATTTTATGGGAGCTTTTTTAGACGTTCACCTCTTGATCAGCTACTTATGTGGTCGCTTGGTCGCAACATCACAGTCTACGCTTGCAAAATCTTCTCATTCCCTTATCGTAATATTTACTGCTGTATAGACTGTTTAAATACTATACAAGCAGTAAATTTTAATTGTATTGCAAAGAACACAAATCGTTGGTGAAAATGACAGTAATAACAAGGTAACGACTATAAAAATCTAGAGTAATTGAAAAAGGCATCAAACAAACATGGTTCAACAATTGCTGACATTTCTGAATAGATGATCAATGTTGATCGCCAGTGAAATAATTTCGGTAAAAATTAAGAATTTGGCATATTAAGAGTTACACGTTAGTTGAAAATGATTTGAAAGTTTACGTGTAACTCAAAATTGCCCAAAGATTCGTTAAAAATACAAGAGCCACTTCAAAAGTTGATAAACATCATCTCTAATGATGGCTATTCAATAATTATTAGAACTAACATGTACTGTAACCATCTGATAATTCTTCAAGGCCCCCAAAAAAGATTTATGTTATTGCATCCGTTTCAATAAATCACTGCATAGTTTACATAAGCTGAAAAGAAATATAATAAGGAAAAATGTCAAGGATCTTGGTTACATAAATTACATGAAATACATTAAAATATCTTATCAATGGCCAACACATTCTATTTGTCCACAAACAACGTAAACAATTCTATTTGTATGTTTTCCGTTAATTGAACTCGACAAAACTTTAATTCGTATTCCTCTTAATTAGTATTTATGAGGATCGTTTGTTCCCATCCGTCCCGCATTTCGATATTATTCGAGCAGCTGCCACGAATATTTGCCATTGACTTGTAATGTGAGGAGATCAACGGGCGAAGGAACGCATTCGTTTAGCAGCAGGACGCGCTCGACGCGTATGGCAGGATAGCAAGTTATCGCAGTCTGCCCCAACATTAGGACGCGCTCGACGCGTATGGCAGGATAGCAAGTTATCGCAGTCTGCCCTAACATTAGATCTGAAGAAACGGTAACGCATGAGGCCATTAGCCGGGACTGCAATTGATGGAGGTCTTAGGTCCTCGCGCTAGAGCCGCTGTGATGCATGGCTCCAACACGCGCTTGCGCACGCAGTACATAGCGACGCTCGTCAAGGTAACGTGACGCTAACATATTTATACGCGCACGAATTTATCTCGAGGTGCCTGTGTAGAGGTTCGAAAGAATTTAAAAAGGAAGCAAGTTACATGGTGGAATTTTTGTGAAAGGTCAAATTAAGTAGGATAAGAATTAATTTAGCATGGCATGTAGCTAGATAGTTGCGAGTTCATCTATAATCATATCATAATGCGGTTAAATTAATTGTGGTGCCCAATTTCGCTTTCAGACATTAGAAGCTTGTCACATTAGAATTACTTGGACGAAGCTTGTCACATTTCAGACATTAGAATTACTTGGACAAGGCCGACGTCACTGAAGTTACTGTCATGATAAAATATTTTGCGTATTAAATCAATATTTTCTACTGCATGCCGTATAATGAAACCGTATCAGGGTTATCTAGCGAACGTTATATTAGCCGGAGTGACAGCATAATCAGTAATAACGAATAATAGTAAAAAAATTGAGCGTTACAAAACGTGTTTTTTTTCACACGGTGACTACATTTAATTGACAATTGAATGTATAGTGAAAAAGTTTAACGCTTCTTCGGACGTTATCATTTTAACAGGAGGAATATTATTGTGGTTGCGATGCTAGATATTTTCTAACTCTCGTTTACAAGAAAAGGATTTCAAAGATAAAAATTTTCACCATTAAAATTGTTTCTCTGTTCTATGCAATTAATATGAGAACATGAAAGGCTCGTAGCAAGTCTTCGAGCAAGTCTAAGTGAAACTAAACGAACTCCCTGAACGAGCACAAACTTGGCTCATTAAAAAAGTTCAGTCGTAGAGCGGTGATTAGTCTGTAACTCCGCGCAAAACTAGCTTTGGATACTAATTATAATTGCAAGATAATTTCCCCAAGATGATACATTAAAAACAAAAACGAATGTGATAAAAGCCCTATTTCTGGGCATAGAACATCATGACGTGTCTTACATCACCAAAATAAATGCATAATTATCACGACCAAGATTCCCTACATCGAGCAAAATTCAAGCAAAAGAAATTCATCGCTAAGAGGCATTGTTAAAATATAGCTAATCAAACAGATATTTCCATAGAGACTGAGTAAACTCATAGCTCGATAAAAGGAGGGAAGTTTTATTGTTAATAGGGCAGCATAAGTCAAATTCGATGACGCTAATTAAATAGAAGAAACGCATGAATACGCGAAACTTCAAAATGATTCAAACAGGGTTCATATAACGGTGGAATTGACGTAAAAGATTCAAGTCTGAGCAATTGTTTTTTAGCAAATATATGAAATTTATTCTCTGAAAACATAATTCTGTGTTATGAAATAATTTAGGATGTATTGCATGTTTTGAAGTATCACAAGTTTTGTGACGAACCTGCATGTCGTTGGAGATAGACTCTCTGTCGCCAAGGATCTCATGCAAGGCCTTGGTGCCGAGCATGTTCCTGAGCGTTGTCTGTGCCAGCAGCCGCGTCGAGTGGTGAGCGTTCTCAACGTTAGCCACGCTAACCGTCGCGTTGTTAACGCGGTAATAAACAACGGCGTCCACGCTCACCGTCACTGAGTCTTTGGTCAGGACCTGCAATTAAATGAATATATTATATTAATACAAATTACAAAACTAATTAGGGAATGTCAAAGAGTTTTTAACTAATCCATGAAATAAATGACAAATGACAAAAGACAATATATCACGAATAAACGATTATTTAAAATGCATTGTTTCCAATACTACAAATATTAATGGAAATTCGGAAAATATTTCAGAATTAATAATCACGTTCAATAAGAGAAATTCGTCGCTTCAAGGGAATTTAAAAATGTTCATTACATGGAAACAGCTGGAGATACTTGAATGCTGGTTGTCAAAACCGTAGACTTTCAAAGCGATAACAGCGTTTATAAATCACAGCGAGACACAATTATCCCATAAAACATATATGATCGTGGCTAGGAGGATAAAGTATCCCAATAACTGCAAAATAATCCAAATAATGATTTTAGCGAGACGGTAGACAAAAACTCTATACGGTACAAGCTAATGCGTTATTCCCTTGAGTAAACCGAGTGATTTTAGCTAGACGGTAGGCAAAAACTCAATACGGGTAAGCGTTACGTTACAAGCTAATGCGTTATCCTCATGAGTAAACCGAGATTTGTTTCTACATCGGGAGTTGTCGATCGCTTCCAATAGCAAGTGACGTGCAGGCATACAAGCTTGGCACGACGCAACAGAGAAGCCAGGCATTAAACGTGCATTAGTCTCAGCAAATTGCAAGGCACGAGCAAACAAAGGAGAGAGCAGCTGCATTGCTGGCTGAGGTCGCAGCTGCGCGACAGGCCATACACTCGTTCACGACAAATCTGCCTGCGAGAACCTTAGTCTATTCAACACTGCAATGACTATATCAAACATAGGATAAACCAATGAAACTTTTGATATTTGTCCATGTATATGGACGTGCATATTAACAACAAACGGAATGAATCAAAACAACGAGGCCACATTTGTACTTATGGCAACACAAACATTCATGCGAGATCGAAATTCCTCTAATGCAAAGTGGACTCAAAAATGTCCATTTGGCAGAAGAGAAACCATCAGTAATTAATAATGCAAATGTATAGCATAGTGGCGAGCATCATTGTTATAACTATTAAAAATTACAATAATTTCATGCATCTATTACGGAAAATAAAGCCGGATGGGACGTTACCGGATGGGACATAACAGTATTTTATATTCAAAGAAAACCCCTTTGCAACATGCACATTTACAGTAAGAACGTTTTGCAGGTGAACATCTCTCCTCAGATGCCTTCTCTTCAGATCTCTGTGAAGTTTCATAATCACGAAAGTTTCAAAAGTAACTATGATTGTTAACAGGTAAAAAAAGCGTGAAATTGCTATAGAAAAAACCAAATGTTAAACGATACTTTGTTTTATAAGAACACCAATTGATCTTCCAATAACGATGTAAGAATTCATGAATGAGATTGACTTGACCTAAAAAAACGAGCGTAAACAAATTCGCAATTTCGAATCGATAGTTTACACTGATGACACATGGATTTAATCATTAACACATACTCGTAGTGATATGATTTCGAGCAACTCGCGCATTGGGGCAAGCCATATTGAATTAAAGAATACACTAGATTCTTTATAATGAAAAAAAAACGTATAAAGTTTTCTGTGAAACTGTTCGAGCGACAAGTCATTGCCCTCGCTAAAGTGTCGGAGATTATTTTTTACATAGGAAGTGAAGGCCTGATCTAGTGTACTGCTGTGTTATGCTGCAAGAGCTGATCTGGCTGCTCTCGAAGAGCACGCATCTTCAGAAGTAGATGCATTAAATATCGACGATTAATCCTTTCCTTATGATGGTGGTTCTGTGTATGACCTCGTATAGCCTTGAGATTATACATGGGGCGTGATTATCGTGCGACAGGATCAACGCACTTCTTGAGGTGGCGCGTTCAATTTATGATGCGATTGTTATTGAGTTTGATGGAAAAGTTTGTGATTGTTTTATAGGAAGGTTATTTTGAAAGAACGAATGAATAAAATAATGTTCTTAATTCAATAATCACGCTCAAAAATCTAGTGGAATATTTTCAAATAGTGTAAGTAAATCATAAAATTATCATCTGCCAGGTTGCCATAGAAATCTAAAGTTCTATGTTTTCTGAAGAGAACCAACCATAAGGCTTTCAAATCAAAGTGAATGTTGCCTATCCAATGTGCCAGCAGAAAGATCTGCCTAAATCCTAACAGTGTGCTTTCAAAAGAAGAGATTTGAAGGCTTGGAGAGCTGTTCAAACTCCAGCTTTACCGACCAAAGAGCACACAACGGCCCTCAACACAAATATTCGTCCATCAATGTTAACGTCAGACGCAAAATATAACGAAACTAGCGAAAATAAGCTCAATCATATGAAAATATATCTTGAAAAGCCTGTAGCATATTGAAACGATTAGGAAAAAAAGTTCACACAAAAAGCCGTTCAAGTATGGTAATTTCGCCTGGGCTTTAATTCTCGAATGCTGAGCGATAGGCCGTAGTAAATGGTTGACCGTGAGCGGGCCGAACTAAAGGGCAGGCCATGAGCTATAAGCCGTATTAAAGGGTAGGCCGTGAGCTGTAAGCCGTATTAAAGGGAGGGCCGTGAGCGATAAACCGTATTAAAGGGTGGGCCGTGAGCGATAAGCCATAATAGGCCGTGCTTGCTAGCCTTCATTCAAATTATTTTGTTATTGAGGGAAAAAATCAGTGCGGTGATATTGGCAATGAATATAAACTTGATACTTTTTAATGAACTCTTTGATGGATGCATTAGTCCGCCATCCAGAAATGGGAAATTCATAAAAAATGTTGCATTCGTCAAAAGTTTAAGGGCTGCATAAGTAATGTTAACAACTTTCAAGTGTGATGCTTACAAACATTCTTGCTTTTGCCGGAGGTATTCTAAATTGCGAAAAACGTAAGAATTTGCATGTACTAAAATTGTCACAAACACAGTCCAGGCTGAATTCGAAACTTTTTTGTCCCAAATCATCTGCTTTCGACAATTTCCCTTCGGATCTTTCTAAAAATGCATGAGCAAAAGCGTCACGTCGAGCCGCTATTCCCTACTAGAAATTTTCAGTTCAAAATACATCGAAGAAACAGCCTAAGAAATATAAAATTCAGTCCCTCTATTTGAAGAAAATTGTTATTATCAATTTATAATTAAAATAAGATTTAAAATTTGTAGACTTAACATGATGCTGCCATTACTTACGTCTCCAGTTATGCGGGAAGTAATTACAGATTTTCAGCCTTTTTCTCAGCCTAATTTCACTTATTAATTGGAGCTAAGACCGTTGTTCTTTGATGTAGCAAACGTGGAGCACTCATAAGAAGCAATTATGCTGCGCTTTATTAGAGTCCCAACACAAATATCTAGCTACAAAAGGCACAAGCATGAGCGAGTGGGGTGAGGTTCAAAGCAAAATTGATCAGCTCTGAAAAATAAGAATTAATTAAGACCGGCAGCTACAAGCAAGGCAGCTAGTTTGTACACGTGTTGCAATAAACGAGCTTGTTTAACTTACCTCTTGAGGAGGAACGTCGAACACGCTCGTGCGGAGGTCCACTTTGGAGTATGTCTCAATACAAGGCAATATGAAGAAGATCCCTGCAAGCATAGACTACAGTTAAGTTAGGTTATTTGGCTGGGAATCTAATTAAAGTTCTACAGCACATTGTGAACGCTTCTAAACTTATGCGCGCGTGTACGAGACGCGCGAGTACAAGACGCGCGTGAACGAGACGCGCGTGTACGAGACGCGCGTGTACGAGGCGCGCGTGTACGAGTCGTGCGTGTACGAGACGCGCGTGTACGAGATGATGGTCTGCATGAGAAGCACGCGCATGATGGTCTGCATGAGACACGTGATAGTCTGCATGAGAAGCACGCGCATGATGGTCTGCATGAGACACGTGATAGTCTGCATGCCATGCAACTGTCAGCACCGGACGACAGCGGTCGTCCGCGGTGGTCGTCACGGCCGAGTTCCGCATTCCGCGTTCAAGTCGCTGCATGGAGCAGGAATAGTGGGAATGTTGGAGCTGTACGTCGTACAGCTGGCAGGAGGGGCTGTCTCGTTATTGCCTGGTCCAGCTGCTAAATGCTTCATGTTATTGGAATAAAATAACCAGTTTATTTTATTTAAAGGTAATTTTGTTCGTATTGTGGATTCATGATCCATGTACCTATAATAACTTCTCGTAAATCCCAGTAGTCATTCGAAAACAGCCATTGATGCGATGTACAGCACAAATTATAACACAAAAAATTCGGTCAGTGAAGGGCTGGCGTCACTCGAGCACATTTGATGTTACTAAATGTGCCTAAATGTGTTACTTTAAGCCGCTTGAAAGGAATGCAACAGCAACGAAGCGGAAGCATATACTGATCGCAGCAGTTAAAACCTAATGAACATCGATTTGCATCTCACCATTTCGATAGAGGCTTGAGACAGTCTTACGTGGCGAGACATTCTTGCAAGCTGAAAACTGCACACAGGGCAGTAAAAACAAAATACTTTTTATACAAATAATTCAAATTGATAAAGTGTTCATAAATAAATCATTTTGAAAGCGAATATTTTTTAATGAAAACTTAATCATAACGGGATGTATATGTATTTTTAAATATAATTCTTCAGAACCATGAGACCTTATTTAGTACGAATTGGTATGTAAAACTTTGGCACAGAGCTAAACAAGCCTTGGAAGCTCTAAATTTGATCACATGTGCTGGAGGCTCTTTTACCAGACACTTGAAAATTATAGGCTATGACCGAGTTCCGATCCAGGGGCTTTTTTCTCTGAGTGAATAAACTTGAAGACAAGCTAAAACTTCAGCATAGATGACAAAAAATATTCCTCAACTTTGGCTATTATTCCGAACATTGCAGAATATGAATCTGAGAAATGGTCTATGCGACAGAAATAAAGAGACGACATTAATCAGACGTCCTGACTGTCACACCGACTCTGGAGACATTCGTTGCAGTCAGAATCTCACGGGGATTAGTGACTCGTATTATTTTCAACAAGGAGAGGCATTGAAGAACAGCAAAACATCGCTTGTTTCAGTCAATGAATAAGTGGGGATATGAACCTGAGGAAATACTGAGGTGTAGAAGTTGCTATTAACAAGTGACTGATCATGCTTCATATGTTGCAGAGTTAGATTTAATCTGCAAAGTTCGATTTAAATTTAGAAACAAAGCACTTGGTGAGATTAGAAAGCTGTAAACAATGAGAAAAATTTCCTGATCACCATAAAAAATGTGAGTTGACATATTTTCCAAGATTTTCTGTCGACATTCCTGCCAAACTTCGAGAACCTCGGCCCAATGCACAACAAAGTTTAAAAATTTTATTCATTCTCTGCGACCCAATAAATATGAATTTATGTAGATGACAGACAATCGAAAAACCTTTACTATTTCTATACATTTTGTAGTTACGGAAACATTTCAATATTATGATTTTTACAGATTTTTCTACGGTTCCTCCATTTTGAATAATAATGCCAGGAGTAATGCAAGATAAACGAAGCCAATATATTTAACAAGTTAACAAATATAATGAGATGAGATATCAGCGAGGCATCACCATCGTCAGAGCCATTTAAAAATAGTGCTTTACCCAAAACGCGTTGAGGATGTTAAATATAAAATCATATTATGAATGAAGAAAATTTTAACAAATCACCTGGTCCTTTGGAGCCGCCGTGCAGCAATCTTCCCAACCGGAATATAACAGCTCTTTCGTACTCCTGCACCACCTGCACGAAAACGTAGTGACTTATGATGTAATGATGAATCTCCTGCACCATCTGCACTATAACGCAGTGACTTATGATGTACTGGTGAATCTCTTGCACCACCTGCACGTTAACGCAGTGACTTATGATGAACTGGTGAATCTCCTGCGCCATCTGCACGAAAACGTAGTGACTGTTATGATGCAATGATGAATCTCCTGCACCATCTGCCACGCCTGCACTAACATATGAAGTAACAGAAATTTAACAAAAATATATACGACCATTTTTTCCCGACGTCTGTTCTCATATCTGAAAGAGCTCTCTTATTCTCAGTTTTTGAAGGCAGCGCTTGGCAAAGACTGCATATTTCAAGGATGAGTGGGCCAAAAAATCCTGAACTGAAGCCAGTTAATAAGTGTGTACGATATGCATGAATCTCCTGCACCATCTGCACGATAACGCAGTGACTTATGATGTACTGATGAATCTCCTGCACCATCTGCACGATAACGCAGTGACTTATGATGCAATGATGAATCTCCTGCACCATCTACCACGTCTGCACTAACATATGAAGCAGCAGAAATATAACAAAAATTTACACGACCATTTCTTCCCGACGTCCGTTCTCATATCTGAAAGATCTCTCTTATTCTTCAGTTTTTACCGGCAGCGCTTGGCAAAACTGCATACTGCAAGGATGAGTGGGCCAAAAAATCCTGAACTGAAGCCAGTTAATAAGTGTGTACGATATGCACCTTCAGGAGGCAGGATGTTTAGAAGCCCTAAAATCTGTGGTAAAGAGTTATGAAGTCCACACCAGGGCGATCTGAGCTTCGGAATATGGGCATGCAGTGAAACCAATATAGGCTCTGCAGCGAGCATGAGAACACAAACTATGAAGAAATAGAAGAAGCATAGGCAGAAAGAAATTTATACGGATGAGTTATCAGAATTAGAGCTATTTCGTACGTTTTTTCTTGAAAAAGTGCACTTGATGCAAGGGTTAGTGGAGCAAATTCGTCCGAGGAGAAACCCGTTTAACGTTTCCATATATAAGCAGACATTACTTCGAAATATTTCCCACACTTAACAAACGCTTGATATTTAACTTTGAACCTAATTTTTATAGAAATAAATAATTGGAGTTCACGGGCAGTTTTAAATCCAACAGACATACCAGTTTTCTTTAGAAACCAAGCGTCATCCTGACATGATCGATAGCAACTCCGGCGGTGAAGCATAGAAGTTATCAAGAATGAATGGCCTATAGGAGCTCAGCATTGCCGTCATCTCAAAAAATGAGGTGATATGTGAGTAATAATTCAAGATTTGGAGCTTTTCCTCGAGCCATCGGGGTAACCACTTTTCTTCTATAAAAAAATAAAGATTACTTTAACTTATCAATAACACAACATTGTAAAATGTTGCAGTAAAGCTCACCTTGAAGCACACGAAGAATGAAAATGGCATCGTGGCGAGCACGATGATCCACGACAGCAGCGTCAGTATCCACCCACACGCTCCGATGCCTGTGTCGCTGTCGTCAGCTGCAACAAATCAGCCAATTAAATTATCGTTGCATTGTTATAAAGTTACACATGTCGAGTGAAAAAAATTAAAATCTATATATCCAAGAAAAACATTGTGCATAAGTTGTATGAAATATAGCTCGATAAGTTAAAAGTTTTTAACAGACTTCTTGAAATAAAGAAATTGCATGATGACAGAAAATCATTTCAAATGATATGAAAAGCATCATCACGTGAAAATTTTGGATCTATAATTGATTTTTAGACTTAAGTAAGACGCACGAAGAAGTTTTTCAACAACTTAATGCTGGTCTCTTATATAGCAGCCAAAGAACTAGCAAGGCATCGGTTGCTGCTTCACTACACAGAGCATCACCACAAATTGAACGAACATGACGAAGTCTCAGCAAATAATGGAGCCCGAGGCCAAAAAATTTAACTTGAAAACGGGAATTACAAGACGCGTTTGGCTTGAGTTGGCTCTCAGAGCACAAGAAACGTTGTCCATTAGTGGATGCGCGCTAAAAAAATGCACAAGCTCGTATGACGGATACAAACTTAAACAAATTCCCGGGTCTTGCGATGTATTTTCTGGCATGATGTACATTGAAATGGTTAGTTCTTTAAAAGTAATAAAAATATCGAATATTGTCCGTGTATCATCGTTTTGTTTTTGAAATTTAGTCCCATTTGACTCTTTACTGTGAAATACCATAATGAAGTGAAATTTAATCGATCAAAATTAACAGATCAGAGCAGTTGAAAGAAACTGTGTTGAAAACGTATCTATTTAACAGCCGTTGAAAACGTATATAAAATCTGTTCATATACTATGGCCTTTCTAGCCCATCGGATGTACGTATATACCGTTTCGTATTTAAATACCGCCCATATGTATGCTATGGCCGTACCCGCCAACCGTATGAATATATTGATTCGTATTTAAAAGCTGCCCATATATATGCGATGGCATTTCTCGCCAACTTTGCGTACATATTGTTTCGTATAAAATGTTCGTATAAAATGTTGTCAATTTTTCGGGTTCAGTAGAAAGTTCGACTACCGTCACGTCAGAGATTGACTTGGTGGAAGACATGGCACAATTGGTGTGTTTCATGTTTATATAATTATTCTTCAACGGATATTAGTTTCCAAAAATCCAATATCAAGTAAAAAATATTGAATTTATCATGAACTTTTTCGTTGGTGCGCTCTACGTGAATTATCCAGGAGAATTATGTGCAAGAAAATCTTGTGCCGATTGTATTAATTATTTCGAATGTAATATTTTTAGCAGGTGTATTCTTTTATAACGTCACACAAATTTATATGGAAATTGCCACGTAATAATTAGACTCACAGTCGGGAGCTTCTTGCAGTTCAAAAGACTGCACCCAACTTCCTCGCTTGACACTCGGCATGGTCGAGAGTGACATTGTTCACAATTAATATCCTTACACAAATATAAAAGTTTATGCTTAAAATCAGATGACTTTGGTGAACACGAAAATAAAATTAGATTGTATAGGGAGGCTAAACCAAATAGCAAGCTAGGCGGAATTCAATCTTCAAACGTTTTTATTCGCATACAATTTACGTTCATTTACATCTCATTAAATGAAAACAATTCTAGTGAAGTATATGAAATTACAATACATTGAATACAATTAGATGATCAAATTGCAAACAGTTACAAATGCAAAATAATTGGCTTTATGATGCTTCGTTTAGAATGACGCATTTACGCGGAAAATAGGATTGATTTATGAAAACCACACACCCTTTCAGTCTTCAGTATTAAGAAAATAGAATAAAATCTGAATATAATCAATATCCAGGATGTGCATTAACAATTCACACTCGAAAATACAATGTCATAGAGCGATAATTATCAAGAATTAGATTTCCTCTCAATAGCATAAATTCGCGCAAAAGTTACACGAGAGCTTCGTCAAACAAAACGAAATTAAGAAATAAGAATTTAATCATAAGCCAAACGTGAAATTTGTTTGAAAATTATATTGGACGGCGTTATGCGGCATAGTTAGCATATAAGTTAGAAGGTGCGACGCGACATCCGCGCGTTCGTCGTAGAGTGCTAGCCTACACTGCGGCAAGGCTGGTATTCAAGTCAACGAGGCATGCGTCAATAAATCGATGTACATCTATGTCAGATAGCTCCTGAGGAATAAATATGTAATTCACTGATCAACGGCGCCAGCGTTGGTTGATTAAACTTCTTAATCATCGTTTGAACTTAAATATAACACAAACCATCGACACCCACCATTCTTGATCACGGTGCTTGTTTATGAGGTTCGACCACTTTTATTTTGAGCGGCACTGTTGAAACGAAGTTTGTTGGAAAGAAAATTTCGGCAAGTACAGTCTGCGATTTTACTTTCAATTTGTCTGTCATGAACAATTCAATTCAATTTGTCTGCCAAGAAAATTCAATTCACCAGCCCTTTCATCTAAACATAACAAGTGTTCCTAAGAAATGATTTAGTTTAGACTCTCTAGCGCAGGAACCATCATTAAATTCTCTCATCTGAGCTTCATAACACAATTTTAATTGCCAGGAGACTTGACCAGCCCAGCAGTAATCCGACCAGGGGCCTCAGACCACGCAATCCCGCACAACAAAATCTGATTATACGATCTCTTCAATTTGCACTGCTTTTCTCATGGTTTTTAGTATTTTTTTATTAATAATGATTTCTTGCCATTGACAGAAAAATCGTTGAAAAAAGTTGAGAAACTTATTTACTAGCAAGTCTATTCCAAGATATGTCAAGAGCGACTTAATGCCGACATATGCCAGAATTCGTTTTTACGGTTTTCGTGAATTGTACAGCTGGTAAATATTAAGCGCAGATCTTCGGCCTCGTCTATCGTTGTTTGCATTAAACATATAGCGGAGCGAAGCTGTAGCTCTAATTAGACACGTGTAATATTTTTATCTGCGTGAAATATTCAGATATCACACAGCCTCTGCTGTGTTGAATACCGTTAAAAGGTCAAACTGACAGCCTCCAGCACTTCTAGGTTGAATGTTGTTGAAATGCCAGTAACAGCACAGCCTCTATAGAGGTAATCTTTTGAATGCAGTTGAATGTCGAGCACATTATAAGTTAATGAATTTGAGTTATTTCCGGACATCTCAATAAAAAATTGAGCAATCAGCATCGTATATATAAAAATTTGCATTGTTTTTATGTTAAAAATGCTCTAAAATTATTTATACTTCTGTCGCAGCTATACTGGAACGAGTAAAGGCTTGGATTTCATCATTGAGTTCATGAAAAAATAGACGCAAATGTTAACAAATCTCAGTCTGCGCGAGTGAAGCAGCTCGAAACAAAGGCCGTCTCGCCAGCACCTCGACGGGTGTCGCGTATCTCACGTAATTCAAGCGAGTGTCGGCCAAATCAAAGGAGATCCAAGCGTGTTCGTGCAAACGAAGATCGGTAGCTTCGTTTGCGGCTATCAAACAGAGCTTTTCCAGCACTGTTCCCTGCAGTATCAATCGCACACGCGATTGTGATATCTAATGAACTACGAGTTGTACAATTATGGTCGCATGAGTTGTGATGCATGGTACGAATTAACAATTATTAAAGGCTATTTATGAGAAGAACAATTGCTTATAAAACTTTTTTGTCGCAGAATAACTTCGAAATTTGCAACCTGATCTATTATATGGACAGAAATTAATTCAACGACGGTGTGCATCACTGGAAGCCGGGTGCGCATATAGCCAGTCACGTTTTTACATTATTCGTAGAAATGTACAAATTTAAATGTTTAAACAGTTAAAAATGTATAAGAAAATTAGTGGAATTCTCTTCAAAAATGTTTCAAGTTAATTTATGAGAGCAGACAATCATCATTCCCGACACTGCAAGACACAAGCAATGTAATACATTCCCATGCAGAACCAGGTCTGATTGTTACACACAATCAGCTCATACATACTATCTCCATGATAAAGCATGAAGAGAATGGTGTTAGAATATTTGCCTCTTGGAGCAAATTTTGCTCCTCAAAATGCGAAAAGAAATCGTGCTATGTTGTGCCCGAGCAAACACAGGCCTACGCCTCGCGTAGAATAAAAATCTAAAATAAAAAACACCAAGCAGACTAAAGAGCTATGCACGACTTTGAAGAGAGAATGAGGTTCAAAATAATTAAATTTTTAGTAGCAAAATTCCAGTAGAGTTTTCTTTGCAATGGTACATTATATTTGAGTAAAATAATGAGGTCTGCTAGAATTTGAAATACAGGTAAAGAAATATAGGCGAATTTGAGCTTCAAATAATTGAATTCACACAATCGAAAATTTATTCGTATATACAATTACTGAGCAGGCTGAACGGGAAAAATTTTGAGCAAATGCATTAGTTCAAATTCTATAAAACTTTTATAAAAGTTATTTCAGAACCGGGACGAACCGAAGCTACAAGCTCCCCTAGCACAAAAACATTAACGACCGCTGCACGTAATGCGGTAAAAGCACCCAATTAATTTCCCGGTATAAAAGGTCCCAATTTGCCGCAGTAAACGAGTTTCTTCACATTGAAAGCCATAGATGCCTCGAAATTGTTAGCATCACACTGACCAGCTTTGCCAATGTTGCCATCAGTAACGCGACGTTATTTAAAAGTTTTAAAAGATAAAATGATTACTGCACTACATATTTCGACCGAAAATTGAAACTTGGACAAACAAGCTTATATAAATATTTCGTTTGCGTACTACCGAATTTTGATAAAATTGCCTTTGTTAAAATTGTACAGAACCACATAAGGGCTGAATACGGACTGCACGACACTATTATATATTTTTATAAACAACTAATAATTAGAATAGTACCTATCCTATGAACGACTCATTTCAGACTGAAAACACGCCACTTTTTAATCTAGAATAGTTTCTGGAGTAACTTTCCTGAATGATTTCTAATAAAACCCACCAAAATCAAACTAGCCTACTCCTAAATGTTTGTTTAATTCCAC